TCGCCGTTGCGTTGGCAATGCTTAGGCCCGTACGTGACGATACATCAACCCTTCACAAGATTGCACAATTTGCTGCAGCCATGGTAAGGATATTTTTTTTGGAAGTTACTCCCGCCCCGGCCTCTGAACATGATGATCTTCCTGAACTTGCTTGGGACATCAACGTTACCAGTGGTGGGCTCGGGCACTGGGATTATAGGCAACTCAAGCAATTCCCTCCTGAAGGGCAAGAAAGGCTACATGATCTTTTCCTGCGTCGTCTTATTCTTGGCCGGAACATGCCTGGAGGATCACCAAGTTGGTGGTGATCCCCAAGAAAGTTGGTGCGTCTCTCAATTCCACAAGGCCTATTTTGGTTGAACCTGCTGTGTTGAGAATCTTCCATAAGTGGATGCTGACTTTGCCGGACAACGTTGTGGGAGGCATCCCAGGGCGCTGCACTCACCATGAGTGGGGGGTCCCTGCAGCCCTTGCCTTCGAAGCTGCCCAGCGCACAGATACTTAGCAGGAGGGGTACCTACAGGCGGCGTCTGTGGATACAGAAGTTTTTCGATTGTGTACCTCAGGAGGAAGCATGCGATTGGATTTGGCTAACAATTACCCACATTTGAAAAACACAGCGCCGGAATTCGAGGCAGAATTTGGCCCATTCTTCAATTCAACAGACTTGCTCTACCTTGACCTTCACTTTAATCCCACCTCGAGGATTAACAAATTCGCCTTCTGTGCTCAAGAGGTCCTTACTTGCACAATGGGCATGAGCTTGCAAGCCAGACAAAACTGGGACAGGTTACAGATGGGATGCGCCAACCTCATCCTTGCGTGGGAAGCTAGGGCACGGAGATTGTTGCAGATACCCGGAAGATACTCGCGCGGTGGATCGAACGTCTACTATTTCTCCTTGGTATTCCACCAATGAAGTCTGTTGCAAGGTCATTTGCAGGCGGCAGTATTTCACTGTGGACGACAGTCTTAAATTTTCACGAGACTTGCTTGACAAGTGGGGTGGTCACCCCGACGATTTATTTGCTATTAAAGGTGTTCTTGAATGGTGCAGATGGGAGCCTCCTGTGGATGGCAAGCGTCCTCCTACCTGGTTCGAATTCTTTGTCGTCTTCCTGCTTATGTCCGGGAAGCAGGCGCACTTCCTTAAAAGGCTCAACTCCTTTCGGGATGGCATATGGCGGTTGAAGATGCTCACTGTCGGGCTCCTCAAAAAACAGGCCCATCTCCAGCCTGTGCCAAGGTGGGAGGAGTCGAAGCCCTGAAACTCTTCCCCCCCTCTTGGCCCGGGCTTCACCTTATGGATCCGGGGTGGATGCTCCCTCATCACGACGTAACCGCGGTCAACTTGTTTTTTCGCAAGAACCAGAAGCATTTTCTGGATGGTTTGCCCCCTCGCAAGGTGCATGCATTGATTTCCGAATTGGATGATATTCTTGACTGGAAGCAAGGTGAAGCATTTGGCCATACCCATGTTTCCCGCCGGGTGCGCGGTGAATCACCCGGCCCACTGACCCCGACGCTGTATCTGCATCAGGATTTGCTGAAATTGGGTCCTTGGGATGCCTCCAACTTTCGGGCCACATCATGCGCAAAAACGTGACATTGAATGGGCAGATGTGCGTGTGTATGTGTGTTTCGGGCAACACAAATAATTGCCACCACAGGACTTCATGAGCATCCGATTGCCTTTGAACAAGGTCACCGGCCAAATTGTTGTCTTGTTGGTACGTATACGTGTCACGCGCGCTCGCTGTTGCAGTAGCAGTTGCGGTTGCAAACGTCGCTGCTGTTATTTTTGCTGGACTGCTTCACGATTCCCTCGACTGATATCCTTACCACCGAGCGCAATTGCGGACAATCCATGTTCAGAGTAGCAGCTCAGAGAGCCGCTGAAGGGCAGAGACCTGTACAGCACAACAGTTTAAGCGCAAATCAGTTGCCTTAACATCCAACTCAGGAGAGGCAACAACCGGACATTTTGCCTTTCCAATTTCAATAAGCAGCGATTTCCACCATTTCACAAGGTCACCGCACAACCAGCACTCGGGTTCTTGCGAACCCCAGACTGGGTCAAAACAATGGAACTTTGAAAGCGCTTTGGCTTTCCTCTTCGTCTTCTGCCAACCGTCCAAGAAGGTATCTTTCCTTCGCAGTGCGTGCTTGATCTTCATCGTAGGATTTTTGCCCAAGACCAGACGAAGCTCGGCGGAGTCAAGCAGGGCAAAGAATTCCAGAGGCAGGGCCCTCAGAAGGTAAACCTTCAAAAGAGCCTGGGCCTGGGGCAACTATTTTGTTACCCCAGCGCATGCTGGAGTGGCCTTTGTTTTGTTCTAAGTCTACAGAATCGCAGTGGATGTCGGTACTTTACCAAGGCATTTACAACTCGGCTTTCTTCGGCCAGGCAGGGCGTTCTTCCAGCACAGCGCAGTTACTTTCGGAAGCGAGCAGTTCGAGCTTCGACTCTCTACTCCGTGTGGAAGTAACAGTTGCTCAAGGAGCAATGTAGTGAAGAGTGTGCGTGTATGCGCGCGTGTTTCTGCAATCATGGCAAAGTGTTATGTCTTCTTCCAGAGTTGTTGGACTCAGTGGCCATACGCCCGATTCTTGATCGCGCGCAGCATACTGCGACAACTGATCACAGAGATGTGTCTTGAAATGGCTCGCCATGTTTTGTTCTAGCAAGGTTCTGATATTCTGGACAGCAACAAGACATGTCGTGGCACTTTGCTCGCGAATTGACTTCCACACTCGAGATGCTTTACCTTCGCTTCTTGAGCCGAAGATTGTCAGGGCAGAAACGAGAAGTGTTTGTGTCCGTGTGAATGTTCGTCGGCTCACTATGCTCGATCGGATACATGACAAAACAGTGAAGCCCCTGGCCAGGCCGAGCCGACTCTCGCAAGGCGCCTCGATTTCTCGCTACGCAGAAGGGGGGCTGCCGCATGTGACTTGTGTGTCTTCGCGTGCCGGTTGCGAATGTAAGAGGGGCCATACTGATTGGTTCAAACTAACACTCACACGAATGCTCCGAACGATGATTGGCGTTGCTGAGTCCAGTTGCAAGCCTAGAGATGTCGAATGCTCCAAGCAACCAGCGGATAGCGCTATCCTCTGGCAGCAAGCTTAGAGGCTTTATTCCACAGTTAGCCAGTTAGATATCCGGAGAAACAAAAACTTTAAAAGGAGGCCCTCATAGCGACGGTAGTACTGCGATTGCACAAACGCCACCAATGGCACGTGCATCACCTTAAACGGAACTTGCTAGGATCTCTGATCTCACGGGAATTGACCATGGCATGCAGTTGCGTCGGATGCATGTTGGGAAGCGGATTGAGGGGTTGAGCCGAACAACGCGAAAAACGACTCGGGAACAACAAGTTTTGCCATGAACCACCAAAAGCTTGCCCATGTGTTGTCTAGCAGTTTTCCTTGGCATGTATCCAAGCTTTGATACGCGCAGATGAACTCTGTATTTTGCAACAGCGCAGCTCCTTGGTCAAGACAGTGCAGACAGTGAACCTGCAGAAAGCTGTTCGACGGCTACAGTTTCGGTCTGGTTGTGAGGTACGTCGAGTCGCGTCCATATGGTATGTACAGTGCAATTTGAAGCAGCCCAGAGTTTTGAGTCAAAGGAACACGCAAGTTTTGCCTTTGGCAGGGCGCTCAACTGCAGAACCACGCTTGCTTTTCGTGGCCTTATTTTCTGGCGACAAGATTTGGCAGACCTTGGTTGGGTGGCCCTGAGCAGTTTCATCGAGTGTCAATTCTTGCAAGGGAACCTGTCTGTCTGGGTGTGTGTGTGTGTGTGTGTGCCGCCACGTTGATCCTTGCTGCCGGGCAGGGCCACACAAGCAGTGACAATGGCCACTTGGTGCTGGAACTGCCGCATCCCCGTTTGCTCATGCATCTAGACACGTGGGGGTTTGGGTCAATGACTTCCAGTGATTGAGCCCTAGAAGCCGTCAAGGATATGAAGGTTCAACCACCTGACCGGCTGAATTCACAATTTCCGGGAGGCCCTTGGTGGAGCTGCTGGACCACCTCTCCAGCATCAGGACAGCCAAGGGTTCAACGTGAGTAGCCGGGAACGGTATCTGATGTCTGCCACTTGGGTCACTTGAGTCAGGTCCTCTTGCTCTTGAGTCGGCCCTCCCGTTTGGGAACGCAGACTTGCCCTCTTCCGCCGCCAGCCCGTATTGCGGGAGAGCAAGTCTGCGTCTCCAGAGCTTTTCTTAGATCTACAGCCTCGCGGAGACCCTACGTTCGGGTGGAATTTGTCCATGCCTCCAGCTCACACTTCAGGGTTTCGCGCTTTGGGGAAGACCCGCAACACACACTTTAGGATAGGGGAGTTTTGGGCTTCCGCAAGGGGAGAGAAGACCTGCAAGTCACTCTGGTCGAAGACTGAAGAAAATGGGGTCGCGGCGGCCACATTGCCGCACAGGACGCAGCCGGCGTGCACAGCGTAAAGTCTCTATCAAAAAAGGAACTTGGGAATACAGACTACGTCCCAAGTCCCCCGCCAACAAACTGACTTTCTAGCTGCCTTGCTACCAGAAAAGGGCGGGTACAGTACAGAAATCCGCCGCAGACCCGCTATTGCAGCAGAGTTCGAGATTCGACACACCAGGGTACTCAGGTCGCTCAGGCCACTTGGGTCACTTGGGTCGCTTGGGTCGCTTGGGTCACTCGGGTTGCTGGCTGCCACTTGAGCTGCGACTGGGGTCGCGTGGCCGCGCTGCCAGTGTGAGCCAAGTGACCCCAGTGACCCAAGTGACAGACTTGGCTGATCTAGCCACCCGACAGCGAGTGACCCGAGTGACGTCAGTTTGGCAAGCGGAGCCCGACAAGCGACAGATTTTGCTGGCCCTGTCAAAAGATCTATCCAGAGCTCGATGGTGGATTGGCTGCATGCGTGCCCCCGCCCGGGTCCCCAATCAGCCGTTTGTAGGGTAGATGAAAGTTGGCTAAGCAACGAAGGGTTCCCAATCTCCGCTGGCGCTGCCACGAGCCACTAGGAATTTAGCCCTGGCCTTGGCCCCGCCCATTTCTGAGGGTGTGCAGGCCGGGGCTCTCGACGGGATCGATGGCCGGTCGCACTGGCGTTGAGTTATCAGGAGCTCAATGTTCCGCGGGGCGTCAAATGCAAGAGGAGGCACCACGCGTTAAGCCTTTTTTGGGGTATTGTTTTTTTTGTTTGGGGGGAAGGTGGTTTCCCTAATTTGTCTTTGTGTGAGCAACAGTTCACCGCAATTCACGGCATCCTCCCGGGCCACCCAGGTGGGGGATTCTACCAAACCCCAGTGCTTCCAGTTGCCATTGTAGCAGGCAACCAGAGTTTCTTGCCTTGGGCTCCCCGTTGCCCACTAGACTAGCAACTGGACACACTGGGAACTGGTCTTGTTCAACTGGGGTTCATAAACAGGGGAGTCTTCTCTACATGTGCAGCAACTTGCTGAACCTTGAAGGGAACCCAGCCTTTGCTTGCCTCGAAGTGCGTTTTGTTTTTGATTGTGTTTGCGACAGAGATTGTTTTGGGGAGAAAACGAAAGTAGCGAACCCAGGTACATTGGTTTGCACTTTTATGAGATTAATGTGGATGGTTGTCACACAACCCTTCAAGCCCAAAACAACAACCATGAGCCGTGGTTACACGGAGCTTTGAGTGTGTCTCAGTCGAGAACTTTGCCTTCTTGAAAGTTGCTTGCACAAGGTGTGGCTAGCAGTTTGACACTGTATACTAACGGACGTGTTTCCAGCAAGAGGGAAAAATAGCGGAATATCCAAGAGTTTGCTTTTACTTCACTGGGACGAGGAGCGTTTCCTGAAAGTGTTTGGATTGAGCCCGGGCCCTGTCAGAACTAGGCACCAAACCGCAGCTGAAATTGAAGCTTGATCAAACCGTTCGCCTAGGTGCCTGCAGAAGTGGCTTCTGCCGGGCGCTTACTAGGGGCAGAGGGGAGGTAGATCCCAATACGTACTGGAGAAGGAGCATGACAACTTCCTGTGTTGCGGCTACGGCTCAGCCAAAATATGAAGGGAGGATGATGAAGCACGCATGATAACAACTTCCTTGGCAACCTCGAGAACAATTCCAGGCTGTATTGATAGTTGCCTTGAATGCCTTTGCTCTCCTGTACACAGAAAACATACACGCGCACAGTCAACGGTTTTCTATACTTTACCAGTCGATCCCTCTTGTGCGAGAAAACAACGACAAACAGCAGGGACCCCTCCAACGGGGCAGGCCCACGACTTGGCGTGAATCGGCAGTCACGTTATAACACTCAGCCTTTGCAACCGAACACCGCTGATTCCTTGCATCAACTTGCCCTCGATTCGGATGATTTTCAGTGTGTCGATTATTCAACAGATCCGGGTGATAGACAGAGAGATGTCTTACAGCTTTCGCACATCATATGCTTGCCACTTAGTAGGCCCATCGCTTAGGCTGGCTTCAGCTGTTTGATTTTGAGCGGCAGACTAGCAGTCGCTGTTCCATTAAATGCTGACCTCTTATCAGCAGACATGTCAAACATGCGGAAGATGAATGCCCATAAATATGAGAATCTTCGCTTCCAACATGATGCTGATGACTTCTGGACACAGAACTTCAAATCTGGCAGCCGTCTAGACCCAGGCGCCAGTCTCGCCCACAAGAGCCAGTCTCTCAGGCACCGCAGGCCCGTCCTGGTCTGCCTGGGTTGGGTTTAACCATTGAAGGGCGAGCTGCTTTTGAGCCTCGACCGAGTTTGTCAAACAGCTGAATGCCCATCACGCCACAAAATGAGATGCCAGGGTTTTGCTTTCTCTGGGCCCGCCTCTTCCGTGCTATGAACCTTGCTCGAGCTTGAGCCGTCATTTCATATCGTCATTTAATTGAATTGGACGCTGTTCCGATCAAGACATGTCACGACCCGTCGCGAGACGGAGAAAGTATTTTATGACTTCACAGGGGCTCACGTTGAGCCTTTTGGACTCTCTGTTGTCTCGAGTATCGAGTAGATACATGAAGCCAGTTGTGCACACCAATGTGGGCCCCACTTCAAGTACTGGTCGTTCAAGTATTCGGTGCATTCTTCTTGACATGCGCGTGAAATGCAAATAATTGTAAGAAGGAAGCTGGAAATGGAGTTGCCATGCTCCTTGCTATGGTATTTCTGCACCCGTTACGCAGGTGTGCATCCCTCCATGAAGTGGTAGCGCTGCACCATTGCTCATTTGGTTGAGATGTTTGCTTTGCATGGATAGACCGTCAGGCTGGCCGGCAGACAGCAATTGAGCAGACAAGAATTTGTGGCAACAAAGCAAGAGCCCTCCATGCATACCCCGACATCAAAAGCGTAGCTTGCGTTAAATGGCACAAAAGGCAACAACACATGCTGACTGTGTGGAAAAAAAGACTATTTGCAGACCCTTGCAAATCTCCAAAGCATGTTTCATTTGATTCCCTCGTATTGCAGATAAAGATGACAATGAATCTGCCACCCACAGCTTTCACTATATAACCCTTCTCGCGGACAAATCAAGTCAGGTCAGGTCTGGTTCCTTGGTTCTATCCAATCCTAGCCATCAGCGTTGCCAGCTCGACACGTGCTGCCTGTTGGGCGAGAAGAACGGCCTGAGTCGCGCCTCAGCTGCAATACTCACGGTCGCGGATCAATAAATGACTTAAACATGACTTAAACATGCTTGGCATGCTTGGCATGCTTGGCTTCCCGGGTTGGGATGGAATCCGGCGCCCGCCCCTTCTGGAAGACGAGAAAAAATCTTGAAGCTTGTCGGAGTGCAACACTGAAATTAGGCTGCATGGGAGTTGAATTCTGACTTCCATTCGCCCTTGCCAAACTAATTGCAGCGGCCAAGTTTCTGTTCTCTGCCCTAAAAGGCCACTTTGTGACCCGTTCATGTGTTGTAGCCACATTGCCTTCATGAACACATGTGGCCAGAGCTGATAGAGACGAGTTGCAAAAGGGGACCGCTGACACTCGACGGCTCGTTCGCACAAGTTTCTTCTCGCGAGGTCGTCACCAGAGGCCATGGGAAAGGGATGGCGGAAGTAGAAGCCGAGGGTCCAAACTTGAGTACCAGAGGATACCAGAGGGGCACCTTGCCAAATGAACAGTCTAGAACTCCCGGATAGGGAGGCGGTAGGCCACTCAAGTAATGCTGGAGGAGTCATGGATGTGTTGGGCAATTGTCCCGAACATTGTCGGTCGCCACTGCCATGCGAACAACTTGCTTGTGGTTAGCATGTGTCTTATTTGCTTTTTCTTGAGCTAAAACTCGAATGTTGCGATATTTTGGGTTAGGCATGTGGAGTTTAAAAACAAATTTTATTTTGAAACGCCTAGACAATCCACGCATGCACACAAAACAACATGCTCAAAAGACATGCAAGCAAAGCCCAAAGCATGTCTTTGCTTTTTGGCATTGGGCTTGCTGAAAAAGCAAGGCCTATCATTGCTGAAGAAGCAATGCCTAATGCCCTCCTTGCTGAATAAGCAACCGGGGCTAGCAAAGGGGAGCATGTTTCTTACTGTTGGTCAGCCACATCCTGAATAGGACAGATGCACCAACCAGAGTTTCATGCTCAGCAACTGCTTCCAGTCAAGTGTGTGGACAGGCGCCTTCTAGATTTAGCTGCCACGGCCTCGCTTCACTTCAGAGTTCTGGCCCGCTTGAGACTGACTTGATTAAAGCCGTAAACGCCTAGAGCCTCGACAAAACAACTATGTGCTCCCGCCCGTTGGAGTAACTTCGTCTGGGACAAGCCGACAGGGATGATGAGGAGACGCAACAGGCTAAATAATGAGCAATGACAAGTAAATGCAAGGGAAAGCACTGAACAAGTGCCTTTGAGCGCTGAAAAAGCGCCTCTGCAAGCCTTAAAACCAACAAGTTCAGAATTAGGTGCCATTGGGTCACCCTCTCAGCAGAATGCCCCACCCGCATAGTATTAGCATCCACTTCAAAGCCTTTAAAACATCACTTCACTCCACTCCACTTCACTCCTCATCACTTCATTTCGCGTCACTCTCAACTCCACATCACATAGCATCACTCCACCCCACCCCACTGCGCCTCGCATCACTTCGCTCACTTCACCCCACTCCACTCACTCCGCTCCACTCCACTCCCCTCCACTTTTCTCCTCTCCACTCCTCTACTCCACTCCCGTGTCACTCCACTCCAGCTTCTCTCCAGCCAGCGCCATGATCATGGGGCTGCGACTGGCGCTTGTTCAGCGCGCGGCTTATTTAGCGCTTTCAGCGCTTGTTCAGCGCTTTCACGCCAGCGCTTGCTCCGCGCCTGGCCCCGCCTTGGTGCGGCTCGGCATCATCCAAGAAGAAGTCACTCCAGCGGGTGGGAGGCACATGGTTTCATTATCGGGGCGCTAGGCATAGGAAGTAAAGTCTAGAGAGAGGATGTGGCTGACCAACAGTAAGAAACATGCTCCCCTTTGCTAGCCCCAGTTGCTTATTCAGCAAGGAGGGCATTAGGCATTGCTTCTTCAGCAATGATAGGCCTTGCTTTTTCAGCAAGCCCAATGCGAAAAGCTTTAGCTAAAGAAACATTAAACAAAAACAAACATGTTGCGAACCGCAAGCAAGACAACTACAGAAATGGTCGCCAAATCACTCAATGTGACGAGGTGAGCTTTAGAAGCAAGCTATAGGCAGCCACAGGGCACTTCCAACGCATTTGTTGCGTGCGCTTGTGCTTTTGTCAAGACAGCAGCCACCGCTGCAGGTCGGCGCGCAAGACCAATCGCAGATGCCCCCCCAAACCCCACATATCACCCATCTCAAAAGAAGTGCTATAGAAGCGAGAAGCGCTTGTTTTGCTAGGCATGCTCGGCGTTCATGCGAAGGCCTCGCCAGAAACATGCCGAGAACTTGTGAGCTCCAAGAATAGCATGCCTGCTCTCCTTACAGGTGCCACTGCTGTTGTGCATGCCAAGCCAAGGCCGCCAAAGAGCATTTTGTGAGTA